GTTTACTTTTTTTTTCTAAATAGTTAAATGTTTTGTTTTTCTTTATTTATATCAATAAAAATCTGTAAGAGATTGAAGGCAAAATAAAACTTTCAATAACAGAAACCAATTATTATTGCAAAAATTAATTGAGAGAGAGATACAGAAAGAGAGAAAGAGAGAGAGGTCAGAAGTAAGAAGAAAATGTGTAAAAAAAAGATCAATAACAACAAGAAAGAACATTGAGGAGGAATGTTATTATTGTTACTATTATTATCATGGGTATTTTTGACAGTAGAGTAATATTTCATTTGTTTGTTTGTTTGTTTTTTTCTCTTTACATGATTGCCGTATTTGAATTAACCCAAATGAAAGTGACCTTTAATGGATCTGTTGATATTTTTCTATATTGTGAATAGTAGTAGTACACTTAAAGGAATGTTAATAGTTTATGCTGATCATTGTAAATATAAATATATAAAGTATTTCTAAGAATGAAATAGTTAGTTAACGACAGTTGAGATAATTATAAACATACAATTCCATTTATTATATTAAAGTGTACAAAGACAAATATATGAGTAGAATAATTAAACAATTTATTGTATTCTATTAAGATTCCAGCCAACTACTGTTTTTTTTTCTATACAATCCGTATTATAGTGAGATTATAATTTATGGACGACCTATGAGCAGTGTTAAGGTGACCTTGAGAGTATCTACCTAATAACTAGGACTAAATGAATGATATGAAACAGTGTAATGGATTAGAATTATGATTTACAGTTGATGATTCGAGTTAGGAACTAGATTTAGGGTTATCACCACGAAATGGCATCAGCTATAATGCCAAAACATTAATTAATCAAATGTATGAATGAATAATAATAATAATTATTATTATTATTATTATTGTTATAAGATATTTAGATTGATTGTAAATAATTATTAAAATCACTTCTAGATTGCAGGTAGTTTGAAAAGAGTCCACCAAATAAGTAAATCCAATTTATTCTATTACACTTATTATTTTTAATTTATTCAGATTTGAATAAGTATCATTACAATTCAGTGAAGATACCAGTAAACTTAATCAGACTCAAAATGCAGTAATCGAAGTTCGTTAAGTTAAGAAGTTCACAACGAAATAGCTAAACACTGGTTAATAATAATAATGAAGTATAACACAATTTGGTATAAGTCATTTAAAAAAAATTAAAGTGATGAAAATGATAAATGGTCCTGCGTAACCACTCATCCATTCAAGATGGATTTCCTGGAGTTCTATTGATAAGCCGTGACCAGTGGAGTCCAATCCGTGTAGGCTGGAAACAGTTATCCACCTCAAACAATGGATGAACGGTTGCGCAAGGTCCTGGATGGATTGAAGTTAAACATTAACACCCTTGAATACTAGTTCAGTGGTTTAGAGGTTAAGCGTTCACGCGCGAGACAAAAAATCCTGGATTCGAGTCCCGAATGTGGGGCAGTAGAGTCCCATACTGGGAAGAAATGATCTTTCAGTACCTTCAGATTTTCACTGATGGTCTATCTTAGATCGACTCGTGAATTCAATTGTTATAATACTACGATCTCCGCAAATCCACATACTTAAAATAATAGATTCAAAATAATGGAGAAGAGTTAGAGAAAAGATGTCATAAAATGAAGACAATATTATGTTGGTAACAAAAGATTGTTTTTCGGCACATAAATCGGGCTTAAGGTGTTTGCATTTACGGCCACACACTAGTATTCGATTATCTACTGGTCTCATTTAAAGATTTCGAAATATCAAACTGATGTACTCTATTTTAAAATATCAATGCTGAACTGTCAAGATGGATAACAGTTGAAATTGATAGGCTATGTACTACATGGTTTTAAGGCAATAGTAGATATTTGTAGCATTTCAAAAGCCGGGATACATTCGCGGTTATATCAATGCATGTAAACAATTTAAGATGCATATTCGATTGAAGTAATGTAAAAGTATTGGACAGAGGGAATAATTAGAAGACCAAAGACTTCTTTGGAACATGGCACTCAAGTCAATCAGCAACCAATGAACGCATGAACATTGATCCAATTTCACCAAACAACTGGAAAAATCACTGACAACTATAAGGTCGAAAATTATTTTAAATGGAAGTGCAAATGAAATAACTATGCAATAAGTGATCAGACATGAATCAACAACAACCATTCAAGATCAACGTCAATAGAACACGTTATTTGTTGTATGTAAAGAAATTCGAATGGCTCACTTCTGTGTGAAGTTTTTACTGATAACTTTGCATAGAAGGACAATGGAAGCTTTATGAATAACACTCCAAACTCGGGGTTCAAACCTCCCCTAGTATTAATGTGTTTGATGACATAATCTGACACCGTTTTACTTTATAAAACAATATCAGGCTTATTTGCAAATAAATTTTATAGTCCAAACTCAATTACAAACAGATGAACCTGAAATCATCGTTTTTAAGAACAATATAATTTCTCTGGGTAGACAATTTGTGGCTAGCAGTAGAATATAGGGAGAGATTTAAGTCTTAGTTGTATTGATACTCACATTGAGTTCATAGCTTTCAGTCTAAACACCCAATATGTTATCTGCTGAACTTTTGAATCATGATAGGCACCAACGTATTTAAGTTGCCCGTACCATTACTAGTAATGTTTTGGATTATTCCGTGTATCATTCCTAAATAATAGTACTAACGGGATAATTCAGGCTTTTACTAACTGTGATGTACTACTATGAATATTATTACTAATTAATCCATCAATTTATGCTAGTTTCGTGTGAAATGATTTCATTCTAATTATTGACAGTTGCATGCTCATTATAATCTAAACTTTTCCTGGTATCAAATTTGAATTCTTTGGATAAGTACTTCTATTAATTACTCTTGATATAGGCTGTATTTCAATACCGACTATAGTAAGTCAAACTCTTTGACTCAGGCTTCTTATTATGGTTTTAAAAAAGTTCGGGTTCTTCTGTACGAATATCAGTATGGAATATCTGACATACATTTATGATGATAAAAATGAAGAGGTAACATCAGTAAGGTACTTTTCATTTTGACAGAAATTTGGTGCAAATACTCTAGCTACTTATAAGTAGTAAGTAACACATTTTCATGCACAGCTTACATAAGTCACCTTCGATTTTGACATCAATTTTTTTAAAATTTATATTTTATGGTTTATTTATGACTATAATCAATAATTAAACAACCCACAAACTCATAGTTATTAAAAAGTAGCCGTGTTGTTTTACCACTGGACATTTTAGTTGAAAATTACAAGAAGCCTTGCATTTTAATAAAATTCAGTGACTAGATTCGTGAGGGGATTCTCGGAGTTCTAGTGAGAAGCCATAAATAATGGAGCTAATCCATGTCAGGTAGAGACAGATATCAACCTCGGTGCAATGGAAGATGGTCGTGGATTGGTTGGAGTTGGACATCAACACCGTTGGATGCCGGCCGGCTCAGTGGTCTAGAGGTTAAGCGTTCGTGCGCGAGACCGAAGGTCCTGGGTTCGAATCCCGCAAGCGGGGTAGTGGATGCGCACTGCCAAGGAGTCCCATATTAGGACAAAACAGCTGTCCAGTGCTTCCAGATTGTCAATGGTAGTCTAACATCAATCGATTTATGATCTCAATAAACCCATATTGAAAATTCAGTTAATGAAATGAACATCGAAAAATCTTGATATTTCACAATAATCAATGATTCATTTTACTTTAATAAAGGTTTGGCATGATTAGTTCAATGACATAGCTCAGAAATTATATAATTTAGTGAAGAATGAATCAATCTTTTTGGGAATACCAGCTTTCTGTAAAAAAATTACCGAGAAATTTTATTCGTTAGCGTTAATTTGCATGAATTCTGAAGAGGAGTTTTATTACCGACCAATCAGATTCATAACACAATACATTCTATGTTAGATAATATCAGTCAACCCAAACTAATATCTGATATAACAGTGGATATAATATTCAAACTGAATTCTTCAGAAATAAATATCACTATATTTAAAATTACTTTGCTTATTCTGGTTAAAGTTTTTCTTTTTTAGAAAGGTTATTTTCTATAGGATGAGGTTGTGGATCATATGCCCAACTCTCCTCCTTTATCCGAACTTGAAATCTGACAGTAACTCTGAAAGAGTTATAGGTGGATTTATTCTCAAAATAGATATAACTTCTGAAACAAATATCTTTTAATAATCCAATGAGAAGACGAAGTTTATCAGAATTATGTGATATGTATTTGAGCAATGCATTTCGAACAATCTTATCACACATATATACTTGTTAAGAACATTTATATATGAAAATTAAAAGGTCAACTATACAGGTTAAGGGTAAGTCATAACAAAGGAAAAAATAATAAAGTACACAAAAACAAATGTGATTACCTCTCTGGATAACTTGTTTTTGAACACATAAAGAGGGTTTTAATTTTCGTATAGCCAATGCTTCAATAAACTTTAGTATACGTCCATGAAGGCTTTCATATAACACCACTATAAATGTTTATTTGATATCAACTTTATAACCAGTCTCAATCAAATGCTTCACAAAGGAGGAGGATGTCCGTCTATCCTGTGATCTTATTTGACCATTGGAATCTATTTGTTTCTGCAACCATTGTGGTATGCGTTCACTCCCCCCCCCTTAATTGTCTAGTTGACGTTTTAATTTTCATATATCAATGTTCTTAACAAGTATGTAATGTGTGATCAGATTGTTCAAAATGTATTGCTCAAATATATATCACATAATTCTGACAAACTACGTCCTTTCATTAGCGTTTTTTGGCGAGTTAGTTTTCTACGGGATGAGGTCGCTAACGCTATGCCCAACCCTCCTCCTTTATCCGGGCTTAGGACCAGTAGTAGCCACCGGAGGTACTCCAGGCGAAGTTGTCCTCTCATTACACTATCGAAATTTATCAAAGGGACTAATATTTTAAATTATCTTTTATTCGTTTTTTTTATAGATCAACGGTGAAATTCGTCCAAATTCAATATTCACTTTATGGGAAATTCATCCTACATTATTTAAACCAAATTTTTTATGGTTTAATGATATTAATGATAATAATAATAATGATAATGATGATTTAACAGCTGAATCGTTACCACAAACTGATATCAATGATTATAATGAAATGGAAAATGATCAGAAATTTCAATCATCCAATTTATTCAATGATCCATATAGATTATCTATTAATGATTTCCAAAGAATGTTTAAATTAATTAAACCAGAAATAGCTAAAACTATGATACCTCAAAATAATTTGACATCTATGATAACATTGAATATTACAAATCGTATGATTCATTGGTTAAAATATAACCATATAAAAATTCAAGCCTATAAACCATTAATAAGATATTTAATGATTATGTGTAATGATTGTGATAATGAACAAAATATTATTGATCCAAAAAAGGTAATTAAAAGATATCTAATGTTAAATCTAATATTCAACCACGTTTGTTGTGAGATAGTAACTCACTGAAGACAATGGTGAATGTGTCGCTCAATTTCGTGGATTAGTTGAAGTTAGGCATTACCACCGTTGGATGCCGACTCAGTGGCCTAGTGGTTAAGTGCTCGCGCGCGAAACCAGTAGGTCCTGGTTCCGAATCTCGCGAGGCGAGGTCGCGGGTGCGCACTGCTGAGGAGTCCCACAGTAGGACGAAACGGCCGTCCGGTGCTTCCAGGTTTCCCATGGTGGTCTAGCTTCGACTGACTCATGATCTTAACCATTGAAATTACTACAATCTCCACAAAACCCATCTGATAATAATATTAATGAATTGTATATTAGAGAAAAAAAGGTTGATAAATGTTTCACTATTGAATAGATCATATAGTTAACAGTTATATATTCTAGTAAAATTACATAAATATTTAGCAAAAAAAGACAAATGTAATAAATATTACCTACAAATTCATTTGCTTTTTTGGGACTTAGTAGCTAAGTGGATAACACGATGACGTTTGAAGCGAACGTTATTGGGTTTGAGTTCAAGAGTGAACATCAACTCTGCGATACAGGTACATCCAGCTGACGAGTTCTAGATAGGACGAAACGTGCGTCAAACTGGATTCCATTACTAGCCACTATTCGTCTGTGCTTAAAAAGCTTGTGACTTAGGGTGATATCGATGCAACCCACACAGGATGTACATATGCTAACATGAGACTGGTCAATTGTAGTCCTAAATAACAATGGGATGATAGAAGTAAAACAGCACCAAGTGAATCATTTTTATATCGTTTATTTGAAGTTTTGGATTGATGTTTAGAACAGTAATTGATCAGTCTTTTATTGGTATATATGCATCCTAAGTCTCAGAGTGAACATTAACTCTGAGATACAGGTACATTCAGATGAAGAGTTCCAAATAGGACGAAACGCATGTTCTGGATTCCACTACTAGTTACCATTCATATTTGTTTTCTAAACTTATAAATGTCCTGTTTTTAGGATTCTTAGTGTTGACTGCATTTAATCAATAAAATCGTAAGATGGTTGGGAATATAAGTGAGCTACCATCGTATTTTTTTAATCTTTACGTTGGATTATTAGAATAAATTGGAAGAATGCTATTGATAAGGGCTTCGAAGTTGACCTGTATTAGGTTGCTGAATTTCAGCAGATGTTATGATAACCTTAACATTTCTGTATTTTATAATCAGCGAGGGGTTCTGTGGATATTATAGGAATTTTAATAGTTGAATTCAAGAGTCAATCGAAGGTAGACCACCATGGAAAACCTGAAAACAGGTTTGCACTTTACAATAATTGTCGTTTTTCTAAAAATTGTATTAGTGTGTTAACTAGTTCGATCCCCTTTTAGTTATTTGACACCACCATAGTTTTTGTCACAAAATAAAACCGCTTAAATGGTGGTCGTAAAAAGAAAACCGATATCAATAAATATTCCACTTAAAAATCTTTCACGAATATATATCCATAATTTATGGGAGAACTTGAAGAATATACTGTGTCTTAAATAGGAGTAAATGTAGTGTTTTGTGGAACGAACTTAAGTTATCCTAACTACAGATTGATCTTATTCTATAATACTTTGCATATTGCATATTTATAGGATCTCAGAAATTAAAAATTTTCGAGTAAATTGATACAATATGATGATTGCTTCTGCATAAACTGAAATAAGTCCCTCATCGTTTGGAGCTACATTGAACCCAAAAAGTATATATCCCCTTTAGCCATCATTATGTTTAACCATAGTTTGAACCACGAAATGATTTTAGATAAACCACAGTTGGAAACCTGGAAGCATAGAATGGCCGTTTCGTCCTAGTTTGGGACTACTCAGCAGTGCTCATTCACAACCCTGGGTCCGAGGATCGAAAACAGGAACTTTAGTCTCGATCATATAAGCTTAACCTCTATGATACTACGTTGGCAACCACAGTTACTTTAATGGTGGTCTGGCTAAAATTATCTCGTGGTGTAAACTGTGAAAATCCTACAATCTCTTATACCAAGAACCTCATATTCATTTTCAATTACATAAATGATTTATTAAGAGTTATATTTCTATTTTAATATTTCTATATATTCCTAAGGTTGTTATGGAAATTAAATATCGTCCACGTTTAAAAAGACAGAGGCGTTCATTAACTAAAGGAGACGAGACAATATACAATGTATGTCGTTCTAATGGACACCATTATAGTTGTTGTACACAACCATTATCTGTTAAATTTTCTGATATTGGTTGGGATAATTGGATTATACACCCGAAAAGTTTTGAACCGAATTATTGTAGAGGATCCTGCAAAGGTAGGTTACTATAATTTTCAGTTGTGTATTAATGTTAAACAAGATTTTTCTTAGATCCCTAGCGTAACTTTAAACGTACGTTTTAGTCTATTTGTATTTCATCAACAGGGCCTACCAGTACATCGACCTCAAGGTTCACACTGAGATCTAAACTATGTATTTACCACTCCAAACATCAAGCTCCTGGATACCGATAGCCAATAACTTTTTTAAGGGTAATGATCTTCTAAAAATACTAAGACGTCTGTAAACATAATCATCTTTAGTCGTAGTTCCAGATAAAATTTTCAGATCCACTTTTTCTCAGTTACTCGAATAGATAAATATTGAGGATATTAGCAATTTGTATTATTAGTTAATTGATCGATTTACCATCAATGATACGAAGAGATCTATGTGCTGAATTTATTAAGATGTTCTTTGTTAAGTACATCTAATGCTTTGTAGCATGATTCTATTTTACAGGAAAAGTACTCGAATTTTCTAAGAGACTATAAGAGCATAGTCTCCAATATTCGAAAAGTAGTCTTCTTACTTTCAATGAATGAAAAGATAAATTCTGATTGTTGTTAGTCTTTCTAACAGATTTTTGGGAATAGTAGGGATACACATTAATGATTATTGCATTACTGCTTATTGTCAACCAATAGTCCTATACCTAACAATTTGTTGAGTCTAAACAATTATTTTATTTCAATCGTTAAGATCATGAGTCAATCGAAGCTAGACAACCATAGAAAACCTGGAAGCAATGGACGGCCGTTTCGTCCTATTGTGAAACTCCTCGGCAGTGCGCACCCACGATCACGCCTCGCGAGATTCGAACCCAGGACCTATCAGTCTTCCATAGCGGTCTAGCTTCAATTGACTCATGATCTCAACCATTGAAATTACTATAATATCCACAAAACCCTTCTGATATGAATTATTTTATTTTCGAAAAAAATTAAAAAGTAATTCTTGTATCTAATTTATTATTTGATTTTTTATCACAGACATACGTCGTTTTTTTTTCATTTTCCAGTCACATCAACAAAAAGTCTACACTATGATGTTATGGATTTATTATTACGTAAGAATTTATCACAATTTGGAAATATTCAACGTGATGATGTACAATCTTGTTGTCATCCAACTCAATTAACTAGTATGTCTGTTTTATATTTGGATTCAAATCGTGAATTACAAATGCATACTTTACATAATTTAATTGTTTTAGGATGTGCTTGTAGTTAATAATACTATTCATTCCTATTATATTCTAAATTACATGTCTACTACATGTGTGTAATGTTGATTATTTTGTTCAATTACATAAATTCTATTGTTGTTATTGTTCATATTCAATTTATTAACTATCTAAACAAATGCTTACATTTTCAAATATAAATGAAGAATATGTAACGGTTATAAATTTCCTAGATAGATTATTTACTTACATAAAATGTTTCCATCTATTTATGTATGTTGTGAATTGTTTTAATTTGGATGTAACCATTTCACAATAATGTTTAAATATGGAACATAATTCAAACACTATTAATGAATCATATATTCAGGCGTTCAATAAATGTCAATTTTGTTTCTATCACTAATCAACTAGTTCATATAAGATTTTTGATAACTTCTAAAAATAGAGAGAGAGAGAGAGAGGGAACACTGTCACAAACATCTCAAATGATCTGATCATTATGGTTGACTTTTTCTGCAATATTATTTTTTAACATTACAAAATCAAGCGCGCACACATACACACACAAACATTTCGTCATCCTCATCATCATCATTCATTATTCTCTTGTCTTAACCTAATACTGAATGAAAGTGAAATGTCAATAACTATTTTTGTGTTCTGTTTAAATGTTCACAATCATTTTATTTGTTTTTCTTGTATTCATATATTTTTTTTGGTTGTTGTTTGTGAAATGTGAAATAATATTCAATTTTATGTGTAAATTTTAATACATAGAAACGAAAAAAAAAGTAACTCGCCGAGTTTATCCGTAGCGTTTTCAACGTTGAATAAGCGTGTTGTATTTAGAACTTTCAGTTATTGTCTTATGTTGATTTCGTGTATTAGAGTGTAATTTATCACTAAATATCTATATACACGGTATGTTGACATGTACGAAATTTCCATGTTCATACTAAACAGGTACTAATAATCCTAGACGCTTGAAATGAAAATTACATTCAACATTCACCGAATGAGAATATGTTTAAAACTATTAGATACAACACACTTACTGAACAAAGAAAACGTTGAAGAGCACATCAGCTAGAAAAATTAGCAAGAAGTTGATGACTTTACAAACAAACAAAACAATCCGCCTGAATGATATGTTGCTTAAAAACAATACATTTTATTTATTAATAAATTAGATTTAAGCTTTAATAACGTGTTGTTAACAGTTGCACAGTGAATGAATGCTTTATTATGCTCAAAAACTGTTCAACAGAACTTGTATAGGGTGATTATTTAATATAGCTAACCAATTTCACATGGAATCTGTCATGAAATCTAGAACAATTACACATTCTAATTAACTTGTCTACTTTGTCTTTTATACGGGATTTTTCATGCGTACATCCTGAGACAAATATTGCAGACAAGAGCAGAACATTGTAAGAAACATTTATATATCAGGGTTTACTTCAGTATACTAGATTATTTATGGCAACAGATATAACCCAGATATTTAAGAATACAATTAGAATTTCTCTTATCAGCTCTCTTGAAAGTCTTATCAGCCTTGACGAAATCTCGGCACGGATTTATAAAGCTTGACTGACCTTTGGCAATTCGCGTCTGTCGTGGAGCATGCGAGTTATGCGTCTGCAGTAAAAGGATGGACAACAGTTCAATTTGTTGTACTCCATGAGCATGAAACATGGCTATCGAGAATAGGGGTTATTCTTAGGTTATTAGTATTCTATCACAAGCGTCTTCAAATCATCGCTCGTGTATTTTGGGTGAATATGACAGACGGATTGACGAGGTAGTAAGTCGTCATCAACTGCGTTGGTTGGGATACATGTTAAGTTTGTCCAAACACCGACTATGTTGGCGGGCGATGTAGTGGTATGGCGTCCTCTGATACGGACCATTTGAGCACAATACGGAAATCCTCGTATTGATCCATACATTCTCTCCTATAATCTGATTTAGCGACTTAACGTTTCCTAAATGCCTTACTATGCAAGAGAAACAGGACTAAGGGAAGTAGGTGGCTATGTTGTTAAGAGTGGGTGTATGTAGAAATCATACCTATTATATGACGAGTTACATGAGGAACGATTTAGTCCAGACGCCTAAAAAACTCATTTACAATAGGCCCTTGTATTTACATGATCTATTTACCATTATGAACTCATATGATCCGTCAAACCATGCAGCAATATAATATATATCCGGGTTTGTAAGATGAAAAATTAGGTCATTTCACTTGTTCTAGAATCACTAGGCATTCTATATCAGTAAGTTAGATATAGACACCGTTGGATCTCTACTCAGTGGCCTCGAGATCGCGAGCGTGACTGATCCTATTTCCGATCCCCGTATGTGAATTAGTGGGTGTGCGCTGCTAAGGAGTCGCATACTAAGACGAAACGGACGTTCAGCGCTTCCAGGTTTTCAATAGTAGTTTAGCTTAGTTCGGTTCATGATTTCAATATAGTTCAACAAACTGCACAACCCAAAATTGATAAATACTAGTCACTTGGATTTATCAATCAGATTTAAAATGTTAACTTTACATAAAACAACTTTTAGCATAACATCTTTTACGATAAATATGTTTAAGATAACAAGAAATTAGACATTCAAAGTTAGTCATAAATATAAAGTGGTTGTAAATGTATTGTTTACGATGTAGAATATCTACGGGAGGATTAATACTGTGTATTTTACATATTCGTTAGGTATCATCAATACTGTATGTATTAATTTAAATAATACTAACTCATAAAATTACATTCTTAAGGTTAGAATTAAAGTATGTAAAGTTGAATTTATAGTAATATTAAAGTTTGTAACGTTAGGGTACTTGAAACAAGAGCAAAGTTTTGAAACAGTGTATCCATTTGTTTTGTATATTCTGTTGTAAGCAACATTCGTTCCTTTTAGGATACAGTTATATTGATATCTAACAACTTGAATTAAGATTAATCTATTAATTATTACTATGCTTTGCTGAAGATATTTCGACAAAAATATGCTATATTCACGAGTCAACCAGATTTAAGATGGCACTGAGTTGTTGAGCAAAATTCAAAAACTAATGGCAGGGGGCTAACAACTGATTGAAAACTGCCAATATCTAGTTCTCAGAATAATAAAATATCTTTTATCCAACCACACAGTAAATACAAGATGGTGCTTAAATTACGTTATAAAGAATAACTGATTCTAATACAGTGAGCGTTTGATGTGACTCAATGAGTAGTAAAGGATACTTTTGTAGATAAAAAGTATTCTTCCATCCTAACCTATACACCTAACTCTAGCACTTCTAACCCAGTCTCATAGCTCTACTGCGACTTCGAATGTCAAATCCCAACCCTTTCCCGTTTACTATCATAAATAATCCAATAATGTGAATGTTCATCCATTATGTGAAAACTGTTTATTAAACAATTCTTACATAACTGGCGCTTTTTGATTGGCTAATAAGTCCCTGAAAGTCGTCGATATCAGGTGTCTTTACAAATATTATTATCGCGGATAGCTATTCTAACATAGTATTCATCATACGTCCATACATACATACAATTTTAAACCCCATATCTCTATATATTTAGTGTTGATTCTAAAAAACTGAAATATTGTGAAATCGTCAGCAGTATACACCTACAACCACACCAGGCATCGAAACTAAGAATACAAACCACTGTATGTCGACTTGGTAAATTAAAGGTTAATCCCTCATCGCGAGATCTGAATGTTCTAGCTTCTATTACCGGCAGTGGGGTCATGGATGTATACTGCTGAGTATTAATATACTACGACAAAACAGCTGTACAGTGTCTCCACTTATACTCATATAAACCAAATATTTCGTGAACAAGACCAAGTCAACTGTATTATGTCGACAACGATTCGGCATCTATATCACTAATACAACTAATGATAAAACCACACATACACACACAAAATGAAACAATTAAATGAAATGGTAAATAAGAAGAAATGTAAGAAAAAAGCCGTCTATTTTCAATAGTAAAATATAATATTCTCAATGTCATTAAAGAAAACGAGCAATATGAATATTGGACGAGAACTTAATTAATTGACGTTGAGAAGGAAACAGAAAGTAGGATGAATAAAATATATTAGAATGAATATTGAAAATTAATCTGTGAAAAAATAAACGTAAATCACTTTCAAGTAATAACAATGACAGTAATGATGATGATAGCGCTGATGGTGTTGAAAACGGTAAAAATAAAAAGTCACTTCCTAAAATTAACAAGAATAGTATATTCACTTTGAAATTATTCACAAATTAATGGCGCTTTGTTATATCTCATCTGATTCACAATTACTTGATAAAAAATTCAGCAGTTTTGAAGCGATCAAATAGTCGAAAGTTGTCAATGAATCTGATTCAATACCACTTTCTATATTCTTTGAAGGTTGAAAAAGACTGCTTGTTCTTGTGGTCTGAGATAAACTATTTTTGTAGTCAACCTGGTGTTTGTGTTCGTTTGGAACAGTTGACGAGTTTAATGATGATGACGACGGGATTACATTATGATTTGAATAGTGTCTTTCATTAATGAGTTCATGAAGAAATGTTTCAATATCATAACATTTGGCTAAGTCAGCAAGACTTGAAAATCGTACAGCTAAGAAGTAGACTGCACGCAGTAAATAAATTGCTAAAATGTTTCGTTTAAATAAATAAAAACAGAAGTAAATCTAAATTGGGAAAAATCGGGTTTTTATTAATTGATTACAATAGGGATAAAAGTGACTGGTTCTAAGAATATTAATCAAGTTTCAAAGTATATTGGGATATAAGGCGTCGAATAGACGATACTTGGTAATGTGACCATACAGCACTAGCTGTCTGAAAATACCTATAGTGAGCTGTTATCAGAACTGATGGCACCAAGTGTTGTTCATCAACACCCCTTACTTATCCATTTATATGGAAAAATCTCTAGAAATACCGATTTCTTCCTTTGACTTTTCAGGGATTGATCGCCTACCAAATCAGATTACTGACTTAAAATATGAAGATGATATAGTTTTGTTTGATGAAGACGCTGACAAAATTCAGTCTTCTGATAGCCTTAAGCAACGATGCAAGCATGTTTAGGATGTCCTTCTCCCCTTCTGAATGCAAAATACTGTTTCAGGACTGGTTTTCATCAACCTTTAAATTGATTTTAGGGAATGCAGTATCTGATTGTGTTGGTAGATTCACTCATTTTTGAAATCTCATAAACTCTGGAGGGTTGGTGACTGACTAAATCTCGACATGGATTCGTAAAACACCCTTAGCTTTTACCGACTTGTGTCACATGTGGTGAGTACGAGATGTCCGTCTGGGATGACTATATTGCACAACAGTTCACCCTGAATTACAATATAGTTGTGAAACAAAACAGCCTATAAAAGAAATATGTAGGGTGTAAGTATCAAATCACAGGTTTCTTAGAAGTATTGTTCGCCTTTGCTAGAATAACCTGATGAGTATATCTGTCCCAGGCTTTATATCGATTAAGATAGTATTACCATGCCAGAACAAGAATAGTATAAATTTTCTAACTGTCAATAATATTTTATTAATTTTACAGTATATTATATCAAGTTAAAATAAGATTCAATATTTAACTTCCTCACTAGGTACTTGAATATGAACCACACTCTGGGTGTGATGACAGCTAGTTGCTACTGCACCGAGTTGCTCGGGACCGAGCTAGGTGGAGTGAGGACTTACTTAGTGATTGAAAGCTGAACACCTTAACCATTAAGTCATAGGTTCCAC